GCGCACTTCGCGTAATATTATTAAGAAAGCCGCTTTCATCTAGTCATGCTGATTTTTTCTTATTATTTAAGCGGAATAATAAAAATTTGGAACTTTCTCCAGTCCAGAAAAAAGTTCGCAACCTATGATGTAACGCATTTGTGTTTTGTAAAAATAAATTAAGGATACGTGCGTACGCGAATGTGCTATAACTGTAATAAGTATGATTGAATGGTGTTTACATATACCTGGTCGGTTCGTGGAGATAGTGTAGGAGGGCAGTGTAGGAAGTTTCGTGGCCGGAGAAAGTAAGGACGATGAATTTATTCAGTCTGCGGACCGATATGCATACGCATAGTAATGGCTATAAGCCGTATCAATTCTTTTCTCATTTACAGGAGTTGTAACAATATATTAGCTACTCATTCTTCACTTAATACATATAACTGCATGTAACAAAATTTTGGAGAGGAATAAAAGGATTAATTAAAAAGGAAACAGATATTTAATCCAAGCATTCGTGTTTTCACATAATTTGAGTATCAATTTCAGTATAGTTTTAAAATTGGCGAACGACATTTCTAATTCTCTTGAGTTAAAGATTTTTCAAATTTATTTTCAATTTATTTGCTTTCACGGAAACGACGAGTACCCATCGCTATCGATAAGAACACGTACATGGTGACGTGAGCCCATTACAGGCCAGCAGAGGTTGGTAAAAGGATACATGTAACGATTACGTAAAGGTATTCGGAGCGATAATCGTCGAAGATGAAACGCCGTGTTTCCTGGAGGACGGCTCTCCACTTCACGAATTCGTGAAGGCGAAAGCGTCAGATGCTTCCGGATTAATCGATCATAAATCATTCCAGTTCGAGGAAGTTAAATATCAAACCTCACGACGAATGTGAGAAAGTGGGTTAAGACACGTCGAACAATTATCGTATAGTTACCTAATCATGACATTTATACATATATAATTTGCCATGATAAACTGCGAATCAAGAGTTATGGCATTATGTTGCTAATTTTTCCTTTAATTTGTTGATATCCTGGAAAATACTAAACTAAGTCATTATACAATTACCTTGTCCCATATCGTTCAAATTAATAAGCTAGATGTACGTAATATTGTATACAATAGTATATGCGATATTTACATTGAAATCTTTGATGTCGAAGCGTACGGTTTCTCATGATCATTTATCTATCGTATCGAACAATAGAAACTCGTTCCCTCAATTATCAATTACCTCTTTTCACTGAACGAGCAAAAATACCGGAGAGAACGCTAATAGAGAGATTCGATATAATCGTCCCTAATTGCGAGGCACGTCAATCTTTACCGGTGTGGCGCGGCAGGAAACGGTGGCATGGCGTGGCTCGCAAGAAGAAGAAGAGAAAAAAGAGAATCGAACAGGTCGAGTCACGCGTAGAGCTGGAATTACGCCATAAAATTCGCCCACCTTCGTCGCTAGCGGCAGAGCCGCGTGCGTTTAGTCCGACCAATTTCCCTCGTGACGACTTTCCTTCTTGGCCAGTCGAACTCCTCGGTCCCTGTACTGGCAAAGAGGTACCAAAGCCTCCGCGCGGTTCCATCAGTTGATCCCACAGGGATTTCGGCTTTTCTGTTTCGGGAGCGAACAGTGTCAGTGAAATTTGTGTCGAACATCGATAGAGAAAGCCGTCGACGTCTTCTGGCGCCGTGCAAGGAGGAACGCGCGAAGACAGACTCAACCGCGATCATTTTTTTTATCATCGGTGTCAACCAGTTATCTCGAGCTAGACTCAATCCCTGATTTAATCACGAGGTGACTTGAACTCCGTCGGACTTTTTATGACCGGTTTCACATTTTTCCGGTCAATTTACTGGAAAGTGAACGCAACTTTGTGATTAATATTATAAACCAGTTACCCTGGATTCTAATAAACGTATTAATAGGTGCGTTAATAGTGTAACGCGATGCAAAAAACTTGCAGAAAAGTGCTTTGAATTGTTACGACATCTCGGTGAACCCTTAGAAGCAAGGATACAGACAGGTAAGCGCTGGACCGATTACTTATTCGAAAATGTGATAGATCGAGAACAACGGGCATTGTCGTTTGTGCGTCTCCTTCAATAGAAAGTTGTTCGCTGCACAGAAACCGCGTTCGAGTCTCGCTTTAAAGAATCAAATAGATTCTTAACGTTTAATCATAATCACTCATCGCGTTCGAATACATTCTACCAATCGATTTTGCAATACTAGATTCATTTTGAAATTTGAAATTACTATAACAGGATATTAAATTGAGATAACACTTTAATACATTCGATCAAATATGATTATTACACCTATACTAATTCCCTCGGAAGCAACACGTGCATTTCGGACCACAATCACGGTGAACACTCAAAACGAAAAGAATAAAAGTTTGGAAAAAGTTTCCCGATCAAGCGATTGGAACGGAATGAAAGGAACCGGAGGCGGTAGCTTTCTTTTCGAGCCCGATTATTACGCAACGACCGTTACCTTCGGGACAGCAGATGGTCCGGTCCCATCCAGAGTTACGCCCGGCTCGAAGCCAGGCGAGGACTATGCTCTCGAAACCCAGGCCGGATCCGTTGCCTTTCGCGAAAGCTATCGACTTTCATACCTCGTCCGGGTAATAATGGCCCCGGTCGTTTTACGCGTATAAGCGCCATGCCTTCCGGATTCCTCCTTTTCAAATTCTTCCTTTTTCGAAACGAGACCCTTTCTCCTTCCTGTGTAAATTACTGCTTCATTGTATCGCGTCAGCCTGAAGCTGCAGACATAAATTCTGATAAGCTTTCTTACGCCGTTCGGCCGTTCATTATGTTCTCGTTCTCAGTCGCTTTGTGGAAGAAAGTTACGTGTTGGCGGTTCAAATGCCTCGTGCGTTTACGTATCCGAGCGCTGTGTGGCACCACGCTACGAGAGATGAAGACGAACAACCGCGTCTGACCACATAATGACTGTACTACTTACAGTCACTTCCATTTCTATTACGATTACCCGTCGCCGTTTGAACAGCATCGCCGCAGGCATGTCTTCTGTACTTGTAACACGATTTGTTGCCGCAATTAGTAAGATAATTCACTCTTATATTAGGACAACGTATTTTTGTTCTTTTTATTTTACATAGCGAATTGAGAACTGGTAGTGACGAAATACTGTTTCCTTTCTAAAACAACGTTCGCCGTTTCGAGATGTCAATGCTTATCTCGATCTCTGTTGATGCAACTGTTCTATGAATACTCAAATATTAAAACGAACACTGACCCGACGAATTAGTGAAAGTAATATTAAGTAATACGAATCGGATAAAAGTAATAAATATTTAACATTCGATCAGTATTTCATTTTGAAAGCTAATTTAAATCTCGAGGCAGCAAAGGTGAAGCGATTTCGCTGATGCACACAAAACTTAAGCATTCCATCCTGTTCCGTGCAACGGCCATGAAATTTATTCTAATCCTAACGGGCGTGAATAAAAGCGAACGTTGCTCTAGACCATGAAGAACTCGTACACGTAACGCATTCCGAATTTGCCTGTACCTACGTGGTAAGTATTAACATTAAGCTCGCAACCTATTCGTTGCGTAAGTATGAAAAAATCGAGTGACCTGCGATTTACATAATTGCCTAAATGTATCTTCTTCCACGAAACTCTGGTCCTTGAACATTAAAACGAAGTGGATTCACGTCGGCAATAGTTTTAGGTTTTCGTAACACGCATGCGATGACCGGCTACGGATTTTGCAATTGTGCCTGCTACGTCAAAGAGAAGAAAGATGCCCGATAAAATAATGCACGCACGTAGGCTGTCGATATAGCCAGTCGGCTAACCACCCGTGATTCGCAATCAAGTGCATTCGAGACACCGGCTAAGGGAAGTTGTCCTTGATCCTTTCTATCGCGTTCGTGGGTTGCATTTCGAATCTGCGTTTTCGTAGTTAGTCCATAACGTCGTCTGACTGCGATCACTAAGCGATGGATTCTTCTTCTCAATAAGATTTAAACAGAATGTGCACCTTTTTTTTCTTGAGTTTTTATTATTTGTTGTTGCACTAATTGAGACGTTTATCAATTTCGTTAAAATAGTACTACATTCTGAATTGACTTTGATTGGCGCATGAGAAAGGCGAACGATCCAATTTGGAGAAACTGGCGGCAGGTTGCGTAATCCGTGGGTCGGTATTACACGACGTTCAAAGACGTCGTGCACGCATGAGATAACCGAGAAAGCGGCGTCGAAACTGCACTTTCCTAGGCGACGAAAAAGAAATTGCAACCGGGCCACCCGGCTCGTTAACGCTCGCCGATGATAATCGATGCGGCGACCGGTCGTGATCATCGTGCGAACGATTCGATCGACTGTTTTTGTAACTTGCTACGTTGTCCCGCTTATAAAACGTTTAATTAATCAATAACAATAGTTATGTGAAATAATTCATTTTATTAAAATATGTATTAAATAAATTTTGTATTTGACGGTGCTTATTAGTTTTACTTATTATTGCACGAAAATAATAAATCCAAAAAACAGTGCAGTTGCAAATTAATGTTAAAAAATTTCACTGTCATTGACACCGGGAGGGATTTCGTCGTTCCACTTATTTTTTCTCATCGTCGACTCTAATGACTCTAACCTTCTTGAACTCACCCCACTTCATCCGTCCATCCCACTGGTTTTTAAACTACTTCACGATTTTGAAATCCATCCCCCGGATCGCTTCTTCTAGTCGATTCACGAGTCGCATCTCTCAGTGGGACACGAGGACCGTTGCGCAAGCTCGCGAATCGTCGATCGCAAATCCCCAGCAGCAAACAGAATCCGTTCGAAATTCACGAGAAACAAGCGCGCGAACGAGAGCGTACGTGTGTGGGATTCGCGTAGCAAATCGAACGAACGTGCCCCACCTGGCAGGCGAGGCGAGGCCTGGCCGGCGATTCTCGATTCTCGATCCTCTCTCGAAAGGGGCACACATGCTCGCCTTCGTATCCCCTTTCGGGCCCGGCTAAGACATCGGGATCTCCTTCACCGTGGTCCTCAAACGAGCCTCGAGCTCCGTCAGGTACACATCTCGCAGCCGGCAGCTCACGCACTCTCACGCACGTTCGTTACGCACGCTCGCCGCTGTAAGTTCGTCGCACACGCACCACCGTTCCTCGATCTTTCATACGGTCCCGCCACGTGACTCCGTTGACAGACTGTCAACGACCGTCGACACTCGTTAGCTATTCATCGACTAGTGTTTAGTTAAACATTCTGTGATAACGTTTCAGTTTATTATCTACGTTACTTTACCATTTATTTGCTGCGAATTTAATTTTTTTTTGAAAACCACGAACGTGATAAATACGATGTCTCACTATCACTTGACAGTTCTAGTTGATTCAGTGAGCTTTACGAATGAAGCTTAACTCATAATAGTTTTATGTTTTCGATTGATCATTTACTGGCGTGTCCCCAATCATCCTTTCACTTGACATTTCGAGTTCGGTTCATTCTGACGCGAATTGCGGCCCCACTTGCTTAACAGACACGATTTTCCCCAGAGCAAACAAATTGAAACGCAGGAAGCGAAAGAGGTGGCAAAGGAAAATGAGGATAACTTGCGTGCTTCTCGGACTGTCACTGCTGGTCGCTTACGCGCGTGCCAGTCCTGTCGTCAAAAGGGAAACGGAGTCCGATGATCTCAGTCCATTGAACGAGGTAAGCTACACATTATCAATC